TAAGAATATCTGGATACTCATCACATAACTAGTGGAAATAATACATAAAAATAAGTCAACAATTATTTAGACTATTCAATAAACATGATGATAAGTAAACAGTTTACCTTATCATAATATGAATCATCCATCTCATCTGTTATTTCAAGCAGAGTCAATCTAACCTCTGCATAAGCAGGTAGACCATACAAGCTTGCAGCTCCATTTCCCCAATGACGAATACAATCATATGGAATCCATTCCAAATAGACATCATTTGGTGAGGTTGTTTGTAATTGAGATTTCTTAATAAACTCATCAAGTTGCTTATTGTTGCTAGTCCATCCATTGAACACTTCTTTATGGCCACAGATGCACCACACGGGACTACATCGGAGTATTCCACATGCGGAGCAAAATCCATATCGAGAATAACAATAGTAAAAGAAATCATCAACAACCATATAATAGTTATCGTAATGCTTGGTAAATCCTTTTATCATGCTGTTGCGATATGTAAGCCATTTAGAATATCGTCTGAACTGATTAACATCATTATTGTATTTGTGCGTTGGAAGTGAGTATAATCTAGCAAACTCATTCACTAGTGTTGGTGTACATTCTCCGCTGCTTACAAGGACTTCCAATATTACATTAGTATTATTACAGCAAAGAGTGTGGTAGACATTGTCAAATTGAGCTGGAATTATGCCGATGACTTCATCGTAAAGAATCCATTCAAGTCTCAAGTCGTGTTCACCTTCCAAGGAGGATTGGACCAAGTTATCAATTGCTGCTGGAGCTAATGACATCGTTTGAATAAGAAGTTTTCAAGTACAATCACATTTCTCAGCGTTTATGTTATATGTGTCACATCACACTTACCACGTGCTTCATAATCGGAATGTTTTCTAATCTAGTTTATTATTATTATCTTATACACGATTCAATGAGATTAATTCTTTTGTTTCAGAGACTCTCTTTACTATAATATGGAACTATCTACTTTAAATTATCGTGCGAGGTAACATATAAACTGCTTGGACTGAACTATTGGTTATATTTATATGAAACGCGATTTATTTTTATGTCTACTAGTTGCAAACAACATAGTAACTATTTGTAATCCAGACTGATAAGCTAACAAAGTTTATGACTATGTTTCGTTATGCATTAAATTCATTTCATTGGTAATTTTCAAAACAAGAGTTACTCGATTTTTGAGCATAAAACTTTCAAGCTGAGTTTTCAGCTCCGGACAGAGGTTGCTTCTATAACTAATTTCTAACTAACATCAAGAATTAGAGATTTGAAAATGGAATGTTCGGGCACTCTTTAGAGTCTGTTATTACTGAATGACCTCTAAGCCGTTCGATCAAATAAAGATGACAGATTCAAAAATGGTAATTTACACTCAGGAAATACTTTATCTGTCTGTTATTGAAATTAAGACAAAGATTCACTAAGAGATTTACTCGGCCTGATAGAAATTGATATCTTCGATGAATTTCTTTTATTAATTGACGTAAAACATCACGTTGCCCTTTTGGTAAATTCTCGTAGATATTCACAGTAAAAAATCACGGGAGAGGGAATCATATGGATGAGGCCACCTGCATTTCTGATTATGATTATCTGTGATGTAATAGACAATGCACTGCATAAATTTTTGGTTTTTTACTATAACATCATGATCAACTGATACACTTATTCCTTTCTTGGCTCATTACTTCACAAATGTTTGCTTTATCGACCTTCAGACGCCATTGCCTCTTGTATCCTCACGTTCCTCGCAATCTCTCTCTCACCCGCTGTCTATCATTTTGTTCACCTCGAACTCATACTTGTGGAGAACTCGGATTAACTCATGTTGGGTCACGTGTTGTTCTCAATGGGTGGATTCAAGCTGTCAGGTACGTACGTTAATCATCGACGTGTAGAAATGCTTAATGTCTATTCGTTCGATCTAACCTTTGCGATGTGTATTGATACAGGAAACTATCTCCAGAACTCGTATTTGTTCCGATTCGTGATTCATATGGTACCACTCAATTAATTTACAGGAAAGGGACGAACGACTCGTCCACTGAACTAAAGAAAATTATTGATACATTATCGAATGAGAGCGTGGTCTGTGTTGAGGGCATGGTTGTCGCCAGATCCGATGACGTGATTGATAAGGTAGATTCAATAAAGTAATCGAACGCAACATGAAAGCAGGTTAATCACATTAAACTTGTACCTAGCAAACATCGACAGGAGAGATTGAAGTTGAGATGGAGAAATTATATGTATTAAACGAAGCCAAGAACTTGCCTTTTTACCCATCAGGAAAGAAATTGGTTCGTGTTTAACACTGGTTATTTAATAGCAGAATCGTTTATTGTCATATTTGGATACTCAATGCTGTTGTTATTGCCTAAATAGCTTAAAGAGGATCTTCGTCTACGGAATAGACACATTGATCTTCGGCAGCATTCCCTGCAACAGAACCTACGAAAAAGATCACTTGCTGGATGGATCATTCGAGATTTTTTAATTCAAAAAGGTCAGACTCACATTTCATATGAACGTTGATGTTTTATAAAAATTCTCGTTCGGTATTAAAAGCGTCTATTAGGCTTTACGGAGGTTGAGACACCAATTCTTTTCAAGCATACATCAGAAGGCGCTCGAGAGTTCATTGTACCCACACAGAACGTTGGGATGTTCTATGCCCTAACACAAAGTCCTCAACAGGTAGTCTAAGGACAACAGAGTCATCCTAACAAAAGTCATGTTCAACTTTAATCATACGTCCTTTTCAGTACAAACAGCTTCTAATGGCATCTGGAATAGATAGGTACTTCCAGATAGCCAAGTGTTTCCGAGATGAAGATTTACGTGCTGACAGACAGCCCGAATTTACCCAAGTAAGAAGCGAAGAAGAAACTCCACATTTTTGACGTCTCGATGATACTAATCATGTGTTATTAGATAGATCTAGAACTTTCATTTGCCTCGGCGAACGATATCAGAAAACTGGTCGAAGAATTGATTGCCAGAATTTGGAAACAACTTCTTCATGTTGATATGGATATATCAAGGATTCAAGGCAATTTCATACAAAGATTCCATGACACGGGTAATAACGACATGAAAATGAATATCGAAAAATCCTGGCATTCCTGCAATGACGTGTTTTTTTCCTTACCGATCAACCTTGTAATTCTTTTTTCAGTATGGCACCGATAAACCAGATACAAGATACGGAATGAAGGTTGTATTGGCATCCCTATTTGCCTTATACAGTGTACCTTTGGGGTTTAACCACATTTTACTTAGATCTCGGATATCACATCCTACTTCCCAGACGCTCCATGGAACTCTTCTAATACTATTGAATACCTTGTAATAAAACATGGTGGTTCTCTCACCGGGAGTGAAATTAAATCGCTTCAGGCCGTTGCTAAATCCCAATCTGATGAGGGCAAGAATGAGAATAATAAGGTCAGTTATCAAGGAACAATAAACCATTGTATATATTTAGAGCTTTTTTTCGGTTTTCTTTTTTGAACTCATTTATGTTGTTAGTAGTACTTGGATTTCATCAAGGTTAATCCATATAATATCGAGTCATGGATGGCGAAAACATACGTTGGCAAGAAAATATCAAACGCCGAAGAGATCGCGAGAAGAATGTTACGCGATGAGGATATTGAAGTTGGAGATCTAATTGTCTTGGGGATGAGAGATAGATTTATCTCGGTAAGCAAACCTTTTCAAACGAAGAATAAATTACTGGAAAATTTAACATTCGAATTAACCATACAAATTAGGGAGGATGGACACCGATGGGGCGTGTACGTTCACACGCAAGCTCTCTTTTGCAAAAGAAAGGTACGATCAGTTGACTGTCCACATGAAAAGTTGGAGAACCTTGAAAACTGAGCGTTATAATTACCAATTAGGTCTCTTGTCGATACCTCAATCTCAATATGACTTCCTCTGGGTTGACTCGTTCCCCCTCTTTACCCGCGAGAAAGAGTCCAACACTCTCAGTTCGACCCATCATCCGTTCACAGCTCCATGCCCTGAAGACTTGGAATTGTTAAACTCTGATCCTGAAAAAGGTAAAGAATTTTCTAGACACCTTCAGTCTGGATGCGGAAAACTGACTTTAAACGGGATTTTCTAGGTCCATGCTCAACACTATGATTTGGTGATAAACGGCGTCGAAGTTGGAGGTGGATCAATTCGAATACATTCGCCAGAATTGCAGGCGATGGTCTTGGAGAATATATTAAAAGTATGTTGATTGAGCAGTTTGCAAGGCCTGGTTATGAAAATTGTCGTTATACATTACGATTCTCTTTTCTAGTTGAATGCAGAAGAAAGAAACGCCTTCAAACACCTGATAGACGCTCTTGGACATGGATGCCCACCACATGGAGGTATCGCACTAGGTAAAATTGTGCCTAATTTTTTACGATCGCTAATACGTGGCATTATTCTTAAACTTTCTGTTGTATTATTGTTACTGGACAGGCTTTGACAGGCTGATGGCCATAACCTGCGGTACTAGTTCAATACGGGATGTAATAGCTTTTCCCAAGTCTTCCTCCGGCAGCGATCTTCTTGTTTCTAGTCCGTCCACGATTTCCAAGTCGCACCTTGCAGAATACGGGCTCAGACTAACAACTGATGACGATTAGAAGCATCAACTTTGGAAAGACAATTCGATAGATTTTGGACAATGTAAGGTGATATACAGTGTGTTAAGCGATTACAAAAAACTCTATATCACAACAATTATGAATTCAAATTAAACAAGTTCAAGTTTGTTTGAAGGCTTATTAATTACTTTATTAATAGAAATTTTCAGTATGAGATTCTACCGCCAAAATGGAGGAGACTAAATTATTGACCACCTCTCGAGGAATTTCACAACCATAAATTTCATTAGCTTGTCGGTTTTGTGGCATTCGCGTTTCAACGTTATTCTTAATTGGATTAACGTCGAGACTGTTGGATGGCCAGTCAATCAATGGACCGAATTTTCAATTCTCATCATCCATCCTTCCTTGTTTAAGTATTGTTCATCTCAGTGACTATATCTTCTCGTGCGAATGCAGTATTATTGGTTGGTGCATAATATTCATCTATTAGGTTATGCCAGCCAAAGCCTTCAAGTAAAATAGCATATTAAACAATGCTTACACAACAAATGAGAGAACTATACCAATACATTCTCAACAGATTTATTGGCATTATTGGGTTCAATCAAATCACTAACCTCGAAAGCAGCTCTAGAGGTAAAGGACACACAAAATCAAATCACTAACCTCGATGGCAGTTTGGTGTTAAGCAAACTGAGGCTCCGGCGATGAATCTCTTTATCTTGTATATGTAATGTTTATTGTACGTGGGCGGTATTTCCTTCTTATAACTTCTGAATACGCCAACTCTTGTTGGTACTTGTTAATAATCCTTTTCATTGGTGACAGATCAAACTTGAGGATAGATGCTGGTTATGCCAAGGCGTTAGGTTCTTGCCAATGTAGAGAGGATCACTGAAGACAGCTGTGTGAATGTCATAGTACTGCAGAGCATGTTGAGAAAAGATGACTTCCAAAGCGACATGGTTGGAGGAATATAAAGAGTCAATCACTATTGACCTTGGGATTTAGCTATTTTCGAACGGAGCTGTAAATACAACGACAGTTAGTGATCCTTAAATTAGACTTTGCTACTCGCGACCTTGTTTCGATCGGTAGACCTAATCCTTGATTACTATGTCACCCTCGAGTTATATACGTCTACCTGGCTATCCTCTTCCGTGGGAAATCCGTAGGTTGGGATCTATCAAAATGCATTCATTACTTCAACGAATAGTAATCAAAATTACCACCAGGATCTTCGTCTCTCTTCAGGATAGACTGATTATGTCTCTATCTGAGATTAGAACTCAATGTTCAGTATTCGTTCATAGTTTGTTAGGCTTCTTGGTGTAATCATTCCTGTATTAATCTTAGATTTTATTCTAGTGCCAGTATCATCGCTATAATACTTTGCCAAGATACATTAAACTCCTCCCAAAAATCGCCACGAGAGACGTTTCGTTCTGCAACACGTTCGTCGGCAACATCGCGCACGAGATGTCTACGAATTGTATACTCAATTATCTCTGCAAATCACTTTCTGTAAAACAATTCAGTTCTATTTTTAATCAAGTATCAAACAACAGCGTTAATGGATGAACGCCGAGTGGGGGATGCTCGGTTAATCAATTTTCGTTGTCCACAATTAACTATACCTAATTACAACAGTCTTTCCGAACGATTGGCCTCTTTGTGGCGTAATAAACAATGTTACGTACTAGCACAGAAAAAGAAAGAAAAAACGTGAATACGCGAAATTCTTTTGAAAATTCTGGCTGAAGGTATTCAGTAATTATCTAAACAATGTGTTACTAAACAAAAGACGTCACTGTACCTACATATGTAGTACTCGTAAACAAAGACAAGTACAAAAGATGGAAGTATCTGCCTATTGTTATGCTGGTGTTGTTGAAAATCACACAGTACGAGGTTGGAGAAAGTCCTTTCTTCAATAAAAAGAAATTTCTACTTGCAGATAATTTAGAGTCTGATGTGTATAATTAAAATTTTATTGGGCGCTCACGTTTTAAAATATGGTTTATAAGATGCTCGGATGAGTATGCTCAGTTGACAGTATCAGCAGGTGAACAGTGTCCCGTCCAAAAAAAAAAAAAGAGATCTGGGAACTTTGCCAAGAGAACATTCCTATCAAGGATTACTAAGGAATGCGGTAAACCATAAAATGTAAGCCACAACAGCAATAGAGGGCAAACAATGAAAGGGGAATGCATACTTGTAACTGGAAAATCCAATTTTAGAATGCAGTATCCATTGAACTACGCATTCGTCTCGGTCATACAGACATAATATAAATCCGAGTTCTTTGTCATCGACCAACCTATTGTCAAATCACCAATGGTATATTGTCCACAAAAGATGTTTGTGATAATAACAACTAACGCACGGAGAATGTAAAATTCCGCGAATAGATTTTTGAAGGAACATTTGTGTGACACGTAAGTTTTCTTTGCTGTCACTCTTATATTTATCACACCTTGCTGATCGGTACATACCGTAAAAGTTAACACAAATACAATTGTTCGATGCTATGACATCATAATGCTTCTGGTGCAACAAATTTTGTGAGGATATTCCCCGCTTTGGTCTTGCCGAATTGACTGTGTCCGATTTTACGGATTGAGGGGTAATTCCAAGTAAAATTTAGAATTTCGTTCGGATGCAATTTCTTTTCCCGAAAGAACAAGTCCATCCTTAATTAATTATTATCATCATACTTGACTTTTAAAATTGGATCGAAAGTGTATGGAGGCATGTTTCGAAGGGATCATCAAACGTTCGCTATATGGTATATGGGAAAGCACATTGGATTACGTCATCGTAAATGTGTCACTCTCATTGCATGTGAGTGTGTGTATTGCGCAATCACCAATCAATGACGTAATGCAGAACTTTGCCATTTGTGGTCGGTGATCCTGCATCCATCCAAATAAAGTAACGATGTGATTAAATTCTTCAGTTAAAAAAGTCCGTTAGTGACGATCGAGAAATTTGTTATCAAATTTACGTGGATACAATCCAAATTGCAATGACTCCTCATCAATAGTTATATATTTCAACAAGATCGCAGACAAAAATGCACAAACTTGAAAATTATTGATAACCATGCTTTGTGAAGTTGTCGCTTTTAAATTTATTGTAAGCACATTCATATGTGTCGATTGGAATTCTAACGATAATTTGTTTAACCAACTTGATTTCTGCGTAACTGTGGGGGCAGATACTAATATATTATATATTACTACATTAGCGTCCATTTATGCTCCTTCTAATCATTCTGCTGTTATTCTTACTTTAAAACTTTTAGATAGTTTAAATGTATTATTCACCAGAGACTTTATACATATTACCTTATAAAGTAGAGTTTTTGATAGTACTTAAGAAAAGCTATTCTCCTTATTATTATATTAACTCGTTACTTTTACTGAAAAAAGATTCTCACACCACAAATTAGCATTCTTTGTTGCATGGAAAAGCTCCGAGATTTTTGTCAACACAATTAATTGGCTGTTGATTTTTTGGTGTTACTTGGCTCATTCTCTAACTCCCCAACAGTCACCGTAGCTGTGCCCAATAAAGGACCCACTAACTCCCCGTGTCAATTTTATAATGCAAAAGTTTATAAAAACTAACATTATATAAATACAATGTAATCCTTGTCCCCTGTTGTGAATGGCAACCAGACTACTAATCAAAATCATTCTAGTATACTGATAATTCTTCAACACCACTTTATTGTCATATTATAGAGAATTATATCTTTAACTTTGTAGTACTTTTTATAGAACTTTAGTTTAAAAACTTTGATGTAATATTAAGCATGTGAAAAGTGAGAGAGACAAGTTGTACTTATTGAAAAGTGAGAGAAATTCTTATTCATATTCAGAGAAGTTTTTGGTTTTTTTTTGCATCTGCTACATTACAAGATAGATTTTTGATAATAAGATGGATATGATGTCAGAGATAAAAATGAACAATTAGAATCATTCTGATGTCTTGTTGTTCAAGTTAAAGCCATGTCAGATGATATACAGAGCCTTTCAATTTAATTTTTATAGTAGTAAATCCAAGCTATGCAATATTCACATCAATTTATTCAAACTAGTGTAATATTTTAGTTTGTGGTGTTATCTTCCAATATATTTTTTTACAGTTCTGTGATATTTATGCGTGACGATCTTAGAAAGTGACAAAATTTTTTGTAGTTCCGCTATTCCACATTTAGACTAGATATTCCTGTTCAACAATAATAAATTGCGTGTTTCTCTATCTTGTCATTCTTCCCTGCTCGACTGTCGTTTCCTTTAATACCCAAAGACGAAATTTTTATGACATTGGTTAATTTACTATTGCCCCGTTTTACTACATTAATTCTTTATTATTTCAGTATATTATCAAATGCACAAACTTTGTATTTGTAGCCGTATGGTCAAAATATAAGAGATGGGACTTACTAGAGTGGACGAGTACGTAATGGCAGACGACCGACACGATTCAAACCTGGGAAGGTTTTCGAATTCACACAACAATCTTGTTAATCAATACGAAGAACAGTCTTCGTCAACGTATCAGCGACAACATGAACAAGGACATTATAACTCAATGACTGATGGTTTCATACGTTATGGGTCACATATAGTCCTGAAACACAACGCTACTGGACAGCTCTTGTCAAGCCATCCCGTAGATTATAGAGCGGGTTCTAAGCAGCAGGTTTGCATCGGGGCCGTAGGGGGTTTGAGTTTGAAAAGGGGTACCTTATAGTGCAAACATGGACAATACGCAGATCTGGTCACAGTTACCCACGGCTTTTATAGTTGGTCGAATGCCCGCTCTCTCTTCCAATATACTTTTTGACTTTTTTCGAATACGCCCCCGCTTCATGCATCCTTGTTCGTACGTCTTTTCAATTCACCAACCCTTGTCTCTCTCTCACTCACCCCTCTCTCTCTCCACACAGGAAGTATTTGCTTGTCGCTGGCCTCCGGACGAGAATCATTATTGGATCATTCTTCCTGCGTTTGGAGAAAAACGCAAGGCTGCTGATGTAGTTTCGTATAACACTCCAGTGCGTCTGCGACATAAGATGACGCGTCGAAATTTACATTCGCATTCTGATGTTGCATCACCAAAGACAAATCAACAAGAAGGTAGGCCAACCGTGCCGGTGCATCGTAGATTGATTAGCAGATGAGAGCGATAGTGTCTGCAGCAATGGTTTCGTTGTGACGTAATTTCTCCATCACAAACCTCTTTTTTTTTCTTTCCCTCTCTCTTTATGGTTTGGTTGGTTGGGGGATTGATTTCCTGATTATCATTTCAATTACCAAATATTGCCTCTCTTTGTTCTTAGTGAATTGCTATGGCGATGATCAAATTAGTGATATCAATGACAACTGGCTAGTTCAGCGACATTCGTATACCAATAACTATGACAATTCGGGTTACTGGATGGTTAATGATGTTATTACCCTACGTCATATACAGACTGGAGCTACATTACACAGTCACAACATTACTTTATATGATGACTTGCAAGAAGTGACATGTTTCGGGCCTGGGCATGAAGACAATGACAAGGTAAACTATCAAACTAAGTATCCATAAAAATCTTATTGGGCTGGGTACGGGTGACCACTGCACTTTGACCTGGGAAGCTCATATATCGTTAGCACAGTTACACAATTAACCAACATTAGCCCATTAATGTATTCGATCTATTTACAACCTAATTCAGTAATGTTTGACTCCATTCGTCATTTTACTTATCCTTATTATTTCCTAACTATTTTTGACAGTGGAGTGTCGAAACAGTTGACTTTCCTTAACACATAATCGGCTTGTACTGAATGTTAACCAATGTTGTGCGACGTCTTTGGGTTATGAGCACCGCAAGTATGGCTATCACGTTCGATGATACAGCTAGGGGACTCACCAGTATCCATAAAACGCAGGGGACCCGATAATTGATGCGGTGAGTGCACCATGTGAACGTTAATTGGTTATCGGAAAAAATAATGTTCGCATGAAGGAATAAAATAAGTGTTAATGTTTCATAATCGTTTTAATCAGGAATCTTTCTTATACAGTACAATTAGCAGATATTATTACCGTATGTTGGCATATTTTTTATTTATAACCGATCGCATGTTCAGACGTCTTGAATAATAAAATAAATATATTGCTATGCTGTAACTTTATAATTTCTGTTGACTATTTAAAATCCACAAGACTAAATAAACGTTTACGTAAAGCGAAAGAACATCCAATTGCAGTTAGAATAAAAGGAGGCCACCGAACATACTATTATTTTTATGGGGCCCTCAGGATTTGCAATACATTTTAAAGAATGTTGTAACACAGTAGAGACCTCAGCCCTAGTTTTGTTTATACCCTGATCCAAATTTGTAACACACATTATTTGTATGCCTCTCATTTACAGTATTCAAGATTCTCAGGTTGGTAGGGGTCACGTGGTAAGGAAAAGATCGAGGGTTTGTCGTATTCACATCTCATTAAATCAACTGTATACTTTTAAGATTGTCTACCTAGCAAAAATCGTTGGCTACAGAGATTGTGAGTATTTCAATAAACATCTATGCTCCTAACTAGTAAACCTGTGAATTGAAAATCTCCTTGGCATCTATATCAAGTATTAACTTGCAACGCTTTGCCATATTCCATCCGCGGCTATTCCACCAAGAATTAATATCCCCACCCACTTGTTGCTCCTGAATTTCTTCCCACAATCTGCAATGTCATCAAAATTAGTAGTTCGTAGTTGCCATGTCAAATGAGACCCTGCTCCAACAACTGAAATCAAATAAAATGGTAATCCTTGATTGTTCATGTATCCAGCAAAAGCGAGAAACGATAACATTGAACCCGAAAAGCACGATAGATAGAGACGTGTTTTCTGATCAAAGAGTAATGCAGTTGACTTCACGCCAACTTTCGAGTCAAATAATTTGTCCTGTTGATATATTTTTTTCCCCATGAATGATTTCAGTGATTTGCAAGAAAAAGGCTTTTTACCAATTCAGTCGAGTTACCTGGTGAGCATAAATAGTATCATATACCAGAGTCCAACACACTCCACTCGCATACAAAGGCAGTGTTATGGTCCAATTGCTGCTACCCAGCATAGCCGGCCAGCCAAGCAGAGCTCCCCAATTAAAAGCCAATCCTACCAGTGGAAAAGTGGTTTGCCTTAGTCAATCGTCTCGGTAACGCGTCATGATATTAATTTTCTGAAATTTTCAATCTAATGAATTATAAATGAAAATGGCTGAAACAAATTTACCATTCATTGCATTTTGATTTGCTTATACTAACCAAGGAATAATTGAGGCCAGAACGTAACACGCTTCATGTATGGATAAATCGTCACCAGCCCCAATGAACTAGCTCCGAGAAATATACTATACCAATTTAGTTGAGTCAGCACTGCCAATCCGGCAGACAGTTGTATTCCTAAGAATGACAATGCCTCGAACTGTGTTATTTCCCCTGATGCAAGTGGTCGTAATTGTGTTCTTTCTACAAGCTTGTCGATTTGTGAATCCCACATATCATTTATTGTACATCCTGCTCCTCTCATGACAAGTGCGCCAATGCCAAACAAGCCAAGCATTTGCAGTAATTGTGATATTGGGAGTTGGGCATGATATGAAGCCATTGATATGCTCCATGCTAAAAACGTAAAGTATTTTGGTAGATTTGAAATTTCAATCATAATAGTCGTATAAAACGGTCTCTAGATGTGTGCAAGTGTTAATTGTGCTTACTGCATGGCAGATAGAGTAGCCATGTACCGATCGGCCTATCGAGTCTTGCCAGCCGTGCATATGGCATTAACTGCTTTGGCAATAACCTATCGATCCATGGAGAAGCTTCTTTGTACCTATCATTATCTAATACAGGGGCAGTGACTGTAACAGGGGTTGTTCTTCCATCTTGTTTGTTTGTTTGACGAGAGAATCTGATCATGCTCGTCTGAATCAATCTCCGTTCATGGTCGGTTATTCTGGGACCCAGACGTGGTAAAGAAACTGAAGACCATTTTGGTAGTATTGGAAGACTGTGAACATGTTTCCATGCGCGAAAATATAACATTCTAATTAATTTGTTTATGCAGAAAACTCTTTAAGGGCAGATTAAATACTTTAAAAGAACTAACGCCGTGTTTAACTCACGTGATTGTCCCTGAAAAAGCCTAATTTGTAATATTAAACTGTTGGTGGTCAAAATAGACTGCATATTAATGATGTATTAGTCGTAGACGTAATAGTATACTGTCTATTGTTGTACTTTCCACTTTTGTGTTGATCGACAAAAGTATTATTAGCTGTACATTATGATGTCATTATTTCATCATATTCTCTATACCAGCTTAGGCTACGTTAATGATCACCGTGTTGCGCCCCATCAGTTGGTCAGAAGATTATAACTTATTTGATATCATTGATGCACTTTCGATCAGTTGTGGGGTGAGCATTCCATCAGTGTATAAAATCGATTGGAGGCATGACTAATGAGATGAGACGTGTGTTGAGATAGATGAATATAACTAAAGGAAGCTTTAACAGTCAATTGGTGCATAACAAAGGAAAATGAAAACCCCAAGTACAGGGGGGTCAATTAATTTAGATGAGATTGCTAATATTAATGCTTGCATGTCATTGGCGAGCACCTCTATTATAGGTTATAGTTTATTAGCACAGGCACTTGTATGTATGACATACATGACATGGTACTATAAACGAACATAGTTTAGTGACGCCTACATTAAAACCTATCATTACTAATAAAACTCCACATTATTATTAAGCAAAGTCTAAATTAGGAATAACAAGTCCTGTTAGGGACTAGGCACCCGCGTCAGCTCCTTTTTTGTAAGATATCAAAGAAGAATGTGCGAGCACCATTAATGTCTCTGTCAAGGTTTGTTTTACATTGGGGACAGCAAAACACCTTAGATTTTTATGAATATAACCACAAGTTTACTTGTGTATTCTTCTGTACAAGATCATGTGCCTTATAGATCAAATGCTGTTGAAAGTGATAATGTGACCATGTACACATGGCTCGAGCAGTCTTGGAACCAATGCGTCGTTATCCACGTCGGACCATTCCTTGAGTGCGAAATTCGGGTAGTAATATTATACGATAGTTTTTCACAAAGCCATTTAGCTAGTTTATAATGACAATCATTCACAAGACAACGGATCCTCTTGTGAATGCGTAACATAACACGACGTAATATACAATTGAAAGTAGTATATACACTACCTGGACAAAAGTATCGGACACCCTAACTTTATCAATTGCTCTAAACTGTACATAATAACTAAAGCTAAATTTTTAATATGTTATAGTCTAACTTCTTATCAATCTATGTGTAAGACTAATACTTTGTTGGCCAGCCCTTACTCGCAATACATGCTTCAACTTATCGAGGCATACTTTTAATTAAATCCATCAAAACATCGTTAGTAATTTGGCTTTATTCCTCCGGTAGTACCGTCCCAAGTTCCCTTACATGATTGAATGCTTTCTAATGTGTTTTCCAATTCTGACCATAACCGTTCAAATACGGTAATTGGCTTAGCCAATTAGGTAAAATTTTCTTTCAATACACCAATTTAGGCGATTTTCTCTGAGTAAAGGTTTGGATGTCGGCATGCGAGAAAAAAATTTTAAGTTCGTGTAAATTGGTTCTTTCATTAAACAGATTTTTGATTTGTTCAGCCGATTATTTCTTGCTGTTTTGCTTAACAACCCGGTTTAATATTTGTTTTGCTCAAAATTTAAAAGTTTTGGGTAGTACTGCGTGATTGGGTTGCGAGACTTTTTTTTTTCCGAGAAATTTTTGAATTTTTCGTATTACTGTTGCTCTAGGGAAGCCAAGAGTTTCAGATATACTCATTTTTGTAGCACCACTTTTAAAAAGTCTGATAATTTGGCCACGTTCGGTTTCGGTTAAGTCAGACATTTTCAAGTTAAAGATTAAACACCAATCCTGTTTATTATATTGTTTACAAAGGAAATAAATATAAACAACGCGTAAAAATTATATCCGCGTTTCATAAGAAGTTAGACTATAACATATAGAAAGTTTAGCTTCAGTTATTATGTACACTTTAGAGCAATTAATAAAATTAGGGTGTTCGATACTTTTGTCCAGGTAGTGTATGTTAAATTATAAATAAATATTATAATTTAATTGATAAAATTTACCTGTAACGTTTTCGCTTATTTTTTTTTCCCCATGAATACAACCGCGTTTATAAATTCGGCCAATGTTATTATTACCCCATTCAACAGCTACTCCATGGATCATAACCTGTCATGAATGTACATACGCCTGGATCCAGAGAAATCACTCCTGATCCCTCCTATTAAATTATTAAATATATAATTAATTAAAACTTTAATTTAATAGATATGATAATATAATATAATAAAAAAATCAGATCAAAACCTTTTGAAATATAGGCCTTGGTTTTCAGCCCATATTTCAAGTGGTGTATAAAAAGATAATATTCCCCAAGTCAATTCATAACAAGGCGGCTATCATATTCAAGCTTATTTGGAAGAGATTCTGCTGACTTGATTTTAGAAAGTTCACCACGAGACTTGCCCCAGTGTTTAGAAAGTATTGTAATTGATTGTTGAGGATCCTTTTTGGAACGGAACTTCATCTTAAAATTTTTTACGATTGGCAGCAAAATTGGAAGAATATCCTTTAAGCAAGTTGTTCATTGCTTCATCACAAATGTCATAGAAAGTTTCAAGGATCCATTTAAGTTTGGTATCATTGAAGTTTTTGGCGTTGAGACATAGTACGCGTAGATCCTTCTTTTCTCGCTTGATACTTTCTTTTTCGACCGCGGTAACATGCTGTTCCCATCAATTTTCTGAGTTTCGGCTGCTCCTGCTGGTTGGGATAAATGCGAATATGTCGTACCTTGCCCGCTGAAAGTTTCTTCACTTCCTTCTTGAAACTCTTGAACCTTCTGCGATTTGCGGCCGAACATAGTCCATTATGTCGCGCCACAAACACTGTGACGATTGCAAGTAGGTCTTCTGCAAATAATCGTAATTTTTATTTACGGTAACGATGCGGCCACTACCTCAAAAAAATCTGCTCACATGATAACGATGGCTTTATTATCGTGATAAGAACTACCTACTGTTTATTATCTGTCGATTCATTGTCATATAAGATTACTGTCGATACGGAGTCCTCCCCTGTCTTCTGTATATGCTTTTTTCGTTTTTCATTCATTGCCCAAATCTAACAGCCTTCTCTCCCTCTTTTGGCAATACTGACTTTTGAGCATTTTTGATACAACTGACTGATTTAAGCGGCATGTACGTCCAGAGGCACTTCGAATTTCTGCGGCACACGTTTCTTGACTGAAACTATGACTTTCCCTTTTACGTTCCTCAAAGATTTCTTTGAATTCTTGAAGAAGGCTTTTTTGTGCTTTGGTGAGCTTGATCGCCGATTTA